AATCTGTTTAACTTGTTTTTGAATATTTTTGTGTTGGAAAATTCCCGTATAACAGGTTTTTGTAAGCGCGGTACATGAAAAAAAAAAAAAAGATTGAATCGCCTACCGCACAATCATCAACCTCCTGAAACGCTTTTAGTAGACCTGGCCTTAAAAAATAGCAAATAAGCCAGATAATTTATTGAATAAAGTCGCCGAAAAAAACAGTTATCTTTAACCTATCTTGCAATCTGTTGGACCAGTAAAATAGCTTAATATTTTCCCCTGACAGTTTTTCGTATTTTAATGTTCCAAACATTTTAACATTTCTAAATAGCACGATAATCGAATCATAAGAAGTGCGAGTGTTCATCATTGTCAGAAAGTAAAGCATAACTAGGTTAAAAAAAGCATTTTTTGCTATGTCGTGAARGTTAATATTTCCGGTCGATCGTCTGATATTCGTGCTGCACGTGACTCATTTGAACCAATAATGTAAGTGCTGGGAATTTTATCGTTGGGTTATAACACTTGATACAAAATGGTTCTATCTATTTAAAAAAAGACAAGGAAAAAAAAAGAAGATAAAAGACATTTTACCAGTAACAGCAACAAAGCGGCTGGCCGCCATTCGGAATTTGGATTATCGCTGGAGGTGATTATCGTGTGATAGTGTGAGTTTCTCGACCCGCAGCGCGCGAGATTTTCAATAATCACCTGTGTATTGCTACTAAAGAGAGATAATACCAACAAATGACGATCCAACGCGAGCGCGAAACCATAACTCTTTTAAACTTTTTCCGTGTTTTTGTAGTAAAAAACAAATTTCCGATGGTATTTTGTTCTGTTCTCTCATTTACTACGATATGACGTCAACAGTTGGTCAAAATAGTTTTGTTGTTAACGGGCTTCGTCTTCTCAAAATTATCTTGTATGCGATGCCGACATGGAAACACCAAAGAAATKAGACTTTTTCTCGATTGAATTTGTTTCTTTTATATTGTATTATTTTATGTTAGCATCGCATTCAAGATTCAGTTTAAGACCCATTTGATTAGTTAAGATACGTCGTTACGAGCCGTGCGCATGTGCAGGCGATCACTATAGTCATTATTACTATTACATTTTTGGCTATAATACGACCTACGTTTTCAATTATGATGTAACACAAAAGAAGCTATGATTCTGTTCCTTTGCTTTTGGTTTTCCATTATCCATTTTAACCTATTCAAATTATTCAGAACGTACAATAAACGTTAATTCAGAAATGTTTTTAAAAACGAAATAAGTATAAAACAAAATCTCAGTTCGAAATCATTTCCGTCGTCCAAATAAGTGTTTTATAGAATTACTTCCGACTCACTCCCCCTAGTTACTGTTGCTATGTTTCACAAGCCCAACAAATTAACTAGGATCTAGAATATCCCTGAAATTAAGACTCTCATCACTGAAAATTGATTATAATATGTCTTCATTATTTACTGTACTGTAAAAAAAATAAGAAGATTGCCTCATAATGCTTGTAGTACTCTAGCTTCAAGATAATTGCTGTGTAGTCGTTCGTGGGGCAATATATTAATTTCTACAACAGTCATTGGTTCGCTATTGTCTGAATTGCCTAATGGTTTGATGTATTGTTGTATGCATTTGACTATTATCACTGATCATGCAACTCGCCATGGCTCAGTATATTTGCTAAAAAAGCCAGGATAAAGATGTTTAATGTTAAACTATCTTTAACTTTGTACAGTGCTTATATAGGTTCTAAGTACGGAGTCTTGAATCATATCTTTCGCTTCCTTCATCTTCGATTCCTTTTTAATTGTTTCAAATGTTTTGTTTTAGTGAAAAATACAGGTGAAGACTGCTATTAAAAGCGTGAATTCTGCATTTGGATATTCGTTGAATGGGTAAAGTAGCAAAT